AACTCGGAGGATCCCCTAATTCCATTCTCTAGCGTGGGAGAGGAAGGGCTCAGAGGCAGCTTCCAGGAGGTGGTGGCTCTCAAGCCAAGGCTTGAGTCCAAGCCAACGGGAGATGCTTGTGGCTGATGCAGGGAGCACCACTTGCCACGGTACAGATCATGGCCGTGAGTCATCTCACCCACACATGAATGATTTCGTGTCCAGGTGGCTAATGTCATGTCTTGGCAGTTGGTTAGCTAGTTTCACCCACTAGTGACCTAATTTTGACAGTTTCCTGCATTGCTGTGAACTCTCATTGTGGATCATTGAGAACTGACCATATATGTGTTTTTATTTAATAGGCGGCACACACTTGCCTATGTGTCTGATTTGGGGAAGGTCTTTTCTTTTGGTTCTGGAGAAGAAGGACAACTGGGAAACGGTGGAACGCAGAATCAGCTGATACCACTTCCCATGAAATTGCCATCAAATGAAGAACTCAAGTTTGGTAAATTCTATAGGAGCACAGGATTTGGCGTAAATACTTTTGTCGAGAAGCTGTATTGTGGCAAGAAAAGAAATGTATGACTGAAGGGAGTTTCTCTTAATATTGGTTTCATATCCAGTCTAATTTATCAAGTCAAGTCTAATTTATCAAGTCAAGTTAATCATTAGTTTTCTCTTACCTCTTCAGATTAAGACTAATGTGGACTTAAAATGATACAACATAAATAGACTCTATGGATTCAGAAGCATATGCAGCCTCTGATTCCAGTTTGCAGGGGGCCTATTAATTTCACGGTGTTTGGTTTTCTTACCTGGTTAAGTAACCATGTAAAACCCTCAGAACGAGAGCAGCTGACATATGCCAGGTAACTGTGCTGAACACTTCGTATGTGTTATCTAATCTGTCCTTAAACAGCTCAGGGAGATGAGCACTCTCAGTCACATTTTACTGGAGGTGCAGAGACAGAGAGTGAAGGGTTAGCCAGGGCTCATGGCCAGTAAGTGGTTCTGCTGGATTTGAACTGTGTCCTGTGCAACCTCAGAGCCTGAGCTCTGAAACCCTCTACTCTAGCAGTACCTCGGAGCGCTTTAGTTACCGTTCTGAAGGTTTAGTGGTGACCTAAAGTACCAGAATTCTCTCAGTTCTCCAGGGAAAAGTGACAGTACGGTTATTTCCTTAAGCAGTTCATATACTTGATTTCTTCTAACCACTTACATAGACTTTGGAAATACTTATTTACATTCCTCACAGCCAATAGTCATTGGTCAAATCTTAAGTTGTAGAGTGTAGTTTTTAGTAATTGGAGCCAAATTACATCAAGGAACAGTTAACTAATCAAGTATTTGACTGTGAAATATATATGTGCATTGGCATTAATTCTGTACATTAAACTGATGCCACATATCAACCTTGTGAATCACCTGTTTGCCGACTAGAATTTAACCTGAAGTAGATATATATTTCTGCTTTATGGGTGGGAAATGTGCTGAGTCTTTGTCTATCAGAAAGCTAAAAGGACTAAGTTTTAAAAGAATCTGAAATTAAAATGAGTGTGCATGTTTGTACCAAGTTTTAAACTCTTACTTTCTGTATATCCCTTTCAGAAAGCCATACCTCAGAAAATGAGTTAATAATAATTGCTGGAGGAAATCAAAGCATTTTGCTCTGGATGAAAAAAGAGGTAAAAATAGATCTCTAGATGTTTTAGAACTTGGTATTTTAAGCAAAACAACAGTTCCAGAATCCAAGTTTGGTGAATTCTAAAATCATCGGGTGACTAGGCTGACTTTTGGGGATTTGCTCAGAAATTGATGCTTTATTGTCTAAACTACATAATATGTACCCACAAAGATCAGATTTATTCCTGGTGAATATCGAATCAGAGAGATTTCCTTAGATTCCTCATATCTTTGGGGCGGCCCCTGCCAATGGTATTTGGTCAGTGCCCTAGAGAGGCAGTGGTTGACATTCTAATACAGTTCTGCCAGCCAGTACGAAAACAGATCTGAGGTTCATAGGCGTATGAATAAGTCCTTGCCCTACTTCACCAAGGCAAATCAAGTTCCTCCTGCTTCTGTACTCAGCCCTGTTAGGATTTGCCTTCTCCCCAAAGCTGTGTGATGATGTTCCTTTTGATCCAACCACACCTGTGTAAAGTGCTAAGTGTTAGGGCACTCAGAGAAATGTACTTTGGGTCTAAATTTGTATTGAAATTGGCCATCGGGAAATGATTGATTACTCCTTGGTAGAATCTCACTTTATTATTGCCCAGAGCTCTATTATTCGTATTTAAAAAGTCTGTTTTACCCTCCATCCTTAGAATATGCCAGTAAGTTGGATACCTATTCCTGTTGTGTCTAAATAATTATATTTCGTTCCTTTTTGTGTGTTTACAGAATTCGTACGTTAATCTGAAAAGGAAAATTCCTACATTGAATGAAGGGACTGTGAAGAGATGGATTGCTGATGTGGGGACTAAGCAGTGGCAAAATACAAAAAGGTATAGCCATGTGTCCGACTGTCTGCTTATGCAAGGCTCCTAAGCTGTGTCCCCCCATTAGTTCCGCACAGTACAGAACTGTAAGACTGTGGTCTGCTAAGGGTCCACTAGCCAGAGATTCCCAGAGCTCATGTGTTTAAGAGGGCTGGTAAGTACCAAATTCACAAGGTAGACCAGCAGGGAGACCCAGGGTAGAGTTGATATTGCAGCTTGAGTCCCAAGGAAGTCTGGGGGCAGAATTTTCTCTTAAGGCCTTACATTAACCCTTTTCTCTTAAGGCCTTCAACTGATTGGACAAAGCTCACCCATATTTTGGAGAACTAAAGGCCCAGTGTATACGAAATCATGTGCAAGTAGCTTGCTTCTGCTTGCCTCAGCTGGCCACCCCGCCTGTCGCTCGCCACTTGTAGCTCTCTGCCCTGCCCTCCACCCCGGTAGCCCTCTGCTGCTCATAGCTCTCCCCTGCTAGTAGCTCACACCCCGCTCCGCTCACCATTAGAGCCACTGCTCATTTGGTCATGACAGCTCTATGGTGTTAGGGCCATGGGCTTTTTATATATATAGATAATCTGCTTTACTCAAAGTCTGCTGACTTCAGTGTAATCTATTCTAATACTTTTACAACAACATCTAGGTTGGTGTTTGACCAAAAATCTGGATACCGTTACCTAGCCAATTATTATTATTTTATTATTATTATTATTATATTATTATATTATTATTGTACTATTATTGAAACATATAGTAATCATCACAACTAGCATGGAATCTCCATGAAGGCAGCTTTCTTTACTGCAGAACTGCTCTGGGTCCTTGACATGTTTGCGTCTATTTTGACTATCTGAGCAGGAAATACAGTCCACAGGTTCCCAACCCTATTTGACCTTAGAACCACTTGTTTGTGGACCTCCTCATCACAGCTGAACAACTTCTACCATCTATAAAGACTATACTTATATTTACAAAAAGTCTGTTTAGTGGTTTTTTTAGGATGGCTTTCTAATTCTAGAAAATAGTTATTTAAAAAGTTACAAAGATGGAACTGAACATACTCCCCTGACCTCAATTTCTGGTAACTTTTTGGTTTACACGTGAGTGGAACAGAAATAAATAGGGCTAGGACAAGTTGGGTGGGATGAGAGTGTTTAATTTGTCACAGAAAATAGTGACCCTATGTTGAGTCTTTTCCGCTTTCCCCGTGGCTTCTCTGAATACATATCCTTTGATTGCCTACGTGTGCCACTGAAAATTTGAGATTTAGCAAATGGAATCAACTTTTAGATACCCAAGGCAATAACAAACACATTGGAGACTGAGGGAGAGGTTTGAGGGCAATTATAAGATGTTTTAATTATCACGTCTCATGTTATAAGAAGGCGTTTTTATGATTTGTTTTAACCACTGTTTTATTCCTAATATAGGGAATTCAGAGAGATATTTTCATCTCCTGCATGTCTGACAGGAAGTTTTGTAAAGGAAAGGTAATATATATAATAAATTTATAAAGTTATGTTAAAAGTACTGTGTACAGATGGTGCCGATAGTTAATACTGTATGTTATGTTTGAAAGTTGCTAAGAGAGATCTTAAAAATTATAACAAAAACATTGTAACTATGTGATGATGGATGTTAACTAGACTTATTGTGGTGATCATTTTGTAATATATACCTACTAGAGGCCCGGTGCACAAAAATTTGTGCACTCGGGGGGAGGGGGGGGTTGAGGAGCTCCCCCCTGTCACATCTAAGAGTAACAGTTAGTGTGTATATTTTTTCTATGTAAATATATTCTTTTACCAAGAAATGGGATTATATGTTGCTTTATACATTACTTTATACTTAATATATTTGTCTGTTTTTCACTTTGTTCAGTTTCCATATTCCTATTTTTATTACCTCATTTTAATGGCTGCATGGTATTCCTTGGGAAAGACATACCCTAACTTATTTAAAAACTTTCTTGTAAGATATTAAAATTTCTTTGAATTTTTAAATAGTATGAGGGAAAAACTTTATACTTCCTTTTCTACATATTCGTATAATTTTATTTGAAAGATTCTATTTTCAGACACTAAATATATGTATTGTTTTACAAAGAATGTGTCTATTTTTAGACAGTGACTATATTCAGTTTACTATTCATGGCTTAAATACACATCATTATGGTTTATTGGAATACTAACAGTTTACTGCTCTGAACCCTCTTTTATTTGGTCCCCACTTTCCCTTCATGTAACTCAGGGAAATTGCCTTTTTTTTTTTTAATCCTCACTTGAAGATTTTTTTCCCATTGATTTCTAGATAGAGTGGAAGAAAGGGAGGAGGGAGAGAGAGAGAGAGAGAAACATCAACATGAAAGAGACACATCGATTGGTTGCCTTCCACACACACACCCCTACGGGGCTGGGGAACCTGCAACCCAGGTACATGCCCCTGACTAGGGCCAGCACTCTGACCACTGAGTGAGACTGGCCAGGGCTGTGGCTGTTTTTTTAATGGAAAATAAATATTTATTGATTATCCACTTGAGATAAGACAATATCCGAGTTAAAGTTAGACTGCATATATTGTTAATTCAGCCTTGATATTTTTGACGTTTTAGAAATCATATGCTGATTATATATATGTGTATATATATATATATTTGTTGTTAGTCCTCACCTGAGGATATTTTTTTCCATTTATTTTTCAGAGAGTATAAGGGAGGGAGAGAGACAGAGAGAAGAAACATCGATGTGGAAGAGACACATCGATTGGTTGCCTCCTGCATGTGCCCGGACCAGGTGAGGATCAAACGTGCAACCCAGGAATGTGCCTTTGACCAGAATTAAACCTATGACCCTTCTGTCCTCAGCCGACATTCTAACCCCTGAGCAAACCAGTTAGGGCATCAGCTATGTTTTTAATTGTATTTGTGCTCAGCCAAATTATTACAGTTATTGTAAAGTTGAGGAAAATATAAAATTTTATTGAAATGAAAGCAAGTTTTGGAAAAAGCCTTTCATCTGATTTTGAATTGAACTGTTTCATTTACTTATCTCTTTTTAAAATTTTTCTTCCACAGAATAGCTGCAGACACCATGATTACTCATTTGGACTTAACTAAAGCAAGAAACACCTTTAAGGAGTTAACCCAGAAAGACCAGATTACTAACATGGTGGTATTCTTCACATTGTTTGGAAAACGGGAATCACTAAAATATTTTTTATAAGAACTCAAAATTTCCAAAGAAATATTTTGTTTTGAGACATTCTTCGAGACCTTGTTGTGTATCCAGATTAAACTCAGATAGCATTCAGGTGTTTGCCCACAGAGTGCAAACAGTAGTCACACAGGTTAAAAATAGTGTAAATAGATAGGCACTCTTGGGGCATTAGGAAGATGATTAAAGAAATTGTTGAGATTGGAACACTAGAATATTTTAAACATAAGTATAGAAATGAGAATAATGTTTCTGACATGAACATCCCCTTCACTGAGGACTTTCTGGATTCTTCCTCTCTGTTTTGTTCCACTGCACTTCCTTTTCTGTAGGTTCTGTAATATTTTTGTTCTTTTTGAGATTGTTGCTTCTTTGAT